TGTGAGTTACTTGTGCTCTGGCGGATAGCTTTTCGAGGAGCGATCGGCCAGAAGCTCCTGGCACGATAGGTAGCACCCTAGATCGCTGTTTTTGGAGAGGATTCGGAGTATCGAGAGCAGTGTCGGACTTGGTCACTGTCTCGCTGGGAATCGGTCTCGTTTATCTCCCGGACTCGCTTAATATACCCGAGCCGGCCATCGGTCGGGTTTCGTCGGGAACGGGTCGGCCGGACTCGGGTCGGGGTAGTTTCCGGGGGATGTCTCGTTGGAATCCTCGCGATAATTCGCCGAACGCGCTCGGGAATTCCGTGAGGATGTTTGGTGGCGCGGTCGGTAGCGGGGCCGGCGGTGGTGGCCTCACCGTGTGTTTATTGCCTCACGCGGTGCGCACGTGAAGCCGCGTGATCATCGCTTTTGCCGCGTCCGCTGTTCGACGGGCTTTTCTCGACGGTGGGATCGCGGACGGATCGCCGTGTCGTTACCCCGACGGTTGATCGGTCGGGGACACTCACTGTTATTGAGGGGGGTGAGTCGGGTGTCGTTATAGTTTTATAAGAAAAGACAGTTATATCAATTAGAATTATAATTTTAATTCTGCTTTATTTTATAAGTATTTTCATCATGTTAAACATTGTTACATTGAAAAGTGTTACATTCAATATTATATTTTGTAATATGTCTAACACTGTGTGAAGAAAAGAATATAGATATCTGAAATCCTTTTATGTATTTACAGAAAATATAATATTTACATAAAACATCTTTCTGAAATACAAAGAAATTTGAATTGGAACATACCTAAAATACAATTACAAGATATAAATCTGTGCTCAAGATATAAAACAGATAATCGGAAACCTCGAATAATTAAATCGGAAATATTAAAATCCATAAAAGTGAAAATAGTCGAAAAAGATTTGCATCAAGAAAAACCAAAAATTTTATTAAACAAGAATGATAAGAATAATAATTCAGGTAAGAGAAACAAGAAACACTTCTTTTCTGGAAAAAAAGGTTAATTTTTATAAAGTTAAAAGTTATTTTTTATATAAAACAGACATATATTTACATAAATTATTTGATTTTTAATAGGAATTTTCTGACAGAAGTATTTTGTGTTGAAATTCTCTTTCAATTGACCCCATTTTATTATTTTAAAATGTTTTATTACTTTTCAACTGTATGTATTAACTTTCCTTATATTTCACAGTATTATAATAAATTTCTTAAGATTAACATTTATTTTGAAATATATTCAGAAATTTTTTAATAACTTTCATTTCATTTTTTATTGATTTTATAATAAATTATCATGTTTGTCCTTATAAAATTTAATGTAATATAAGAAATTAAAGAATATATTGTTAAAATTTTTTAAAATATTACATCATGAAAATTTATATATATAGAATTATTATTCTATATATCACTATTGTGAAGGGCCAATTGAAAGAGAATTTCAGCAAAATATTTCTATCAGAGAATTGTTTCAAATAACATTTTATATATAATATTTCAAGAATATAGATAAAATTTTATCTTTTCATAGATCTTTTCTTAATGAAAATTTAAAAAATATTTTAGAATTTAGAATTAATGCTCTTTACAGGATCAACAGGAATTTTTTAATATGCTACTCAATGATATTCAAATGAACTTGAAGACTATCTCAATGTAGATAAAAGTAAATGATCATAATTATAT